GACCCCCCTTGGGACCACCGGTTCCCCCCCCTGCGGCAGCGGCCAGAGTGACTCCCGGGGCTGCAGTGGCGTTGGGGACCATCGGTGCCTGCTTCTTGGGGCCATGGGGGCCCGGCCTCTGTGCGGGCAGTGCTGTGGCTCCGAGCAAGGCAAGGCACCGTGCCGATCTGTGGGAAGAGGTCGGTACTGGGCTCTTCTGAGGGATGGAACAGGCTGGGAACTGGGCATGGAGCAGATGGGGAGATGCCTGGTCTGATATCCTCTGCTCGCTGCCTCTTCCGTCGAAGTTTTAGGGGCGAAAACGCCCAAACTTGATAAAAAGGAATCTGTGAACAGCTTCTGCCTAAAAGAGACGTAGAATAGTTTGGGTTGGAAGAGTATTATAAGTGTTCTCTTTCCTCTCTGCAGGTGCTTTATATTGTACAGAGTTTGCCAGAGTTATTAGACTTGTTGGGAATGCCGTCCCCCTTAGCGGTGGGGGCTCGTATGGGGTTTTGCCGTCTGCTCTCGTTTGGGGTGTGGGGCATTAAAAGGGTGCCTTGGGTAAGCAGATGGTTCAAGCTGGTTTTTGCCCCCAAACCTGGCTGTGGGCTCCTTCCCACGTGGCTCAGGCTGTTGGACTGAACAGACTTGATGCTTTGGGACCCCAAAGGGCTTTCCAGAGCTGTTGGTCCTTACTTGGATCAAGCCAGGCTGGGAAATCCGTGGCAGAAGGTGGCCGGCCTCGGAGTGGCTTACCCAGGAGGAGAACATCCCCTCTGCTGCGGGAAGCTGTCGGTGGGGCTGTCGCCATGGGGCAAAGCTTGTCTGTGTCCCAACACCTCCAGAACAAGGCCCTCAGCGTCTCTGAGGGCGCTCAGCTGATGTTTCAGGAAGGACACCGGAGGTATTGTCCCCTCTGAAGCTGATCTCTGGGCTTATGCTGCTTAAATTCTGACCCCCCCGGCTCTCCGGAGCACGATGCTTTGGGCCCCACGGTGTTGGGATCCCGGCAGTGTACAATGCAGGAGACACCTCGGGACTGTTCTTTGTCTGTTTGTGGGCTTTTTTTCCCCAATTATTGGTTGATGGGCTGTACCAGTTGCGATTTATTTGATCTGCCTACGGTTGCTCTCGTGGCCCTTCTGCCATCTGGATTAATTAAGGGCCAGATGCCGGCGCTTCGGGGCTTCTGATCGCTCAAGCAACGGCTTGGCAAATGAATTGATCTGCCACGATTTTGGGCACCTTGCTAACACCCCGGTAGGTTTGGCAGGGCTTTTAGCCCTTAGTTATTAAACTGGGGCACCTTAACCCGTTGGTTGATGGGAGACGGACCCACCTGGAAGGTGTTTGGGTCACTCAGTAACTCAAGTTTGCGAGCGGACGCGTTGGCTGCCAGCCCGCCGCGTTCACGGACCGTCGTCTGCGCTCGGCGCGGCTGTTAATCGGTGGCTTTTATTCTAGAAGGTGCACACAATTATCCCATTTGTGACGCTCGCTGGCTTTGGGGAGTATATATACAATTTAGGTGGGAGCCGCAGGGTCTTGCCGGCCCTCGGGGTTCGGTGGCACGGTGCAGGGTGCCTGTGCTGTGCCGTGGCCACTCAGGTGGGTTGTTTCGTGGCCGGGCAGAGCCTGGCCGGTGGATGGGACAGTCCTGGTCCCTTCGGGGAGGTGCGAAGGTTTGAGCTGAGCTCTGGACACAGGAACGGGCTCACGGCTCCGCGTTGCTGCGTGCTCCAGAGCTGAGTGTGAGCTAAGAGTGGCTCAAGTTAGACCAGTCCTTAGGGAAAATATCTTCCTAGGGAGCGTGTATGGGGCTGGTGTGAGCCCCCGGGGCTTTGTGCCGGCTGTGGGGAGAAGCGTGGGGCAGGGATGAGCACGGGGATGGGAGCTGTGCCCGTGGCTCTGCGCTGTCTGCAGGGTGGGATACGCCCCGTAACTTCGCTGCTGTGAATAAGGAGGAAGAACTAATTGGGT